CTTAACTGTTTGTGCCACCCAAGGACCCATACAACAGTAAATAACACTTTCAAGGGCTCTTACTCTCAGGGAATTTACATTCTGATGATTAAATAAAACAAAAATGTCTGCTTAGGGTGAAAGGTAAAGGTGGTGATATGAAAGGGAGTGACCTGGAGGAGGTGCTTCTGTAGATGGTTGGTGCGGGGGGGGTGTCAGGAAAGGCTTTCTCAGTGGGGACATTTAGGTGGAGACCTGAATGCTAAAGAGTTAGCCATTTGGTGAAATGGGTCAGCGCAGCTGGGCTGAGTGAGCGAGCGGGTAGTGGTATGAGATGAAGTTGGAGTAGGCAGGGCCAGACTGTGTAGGGCCCACTAAGGCGGCTAACGAGTTCTGGTTTTAACACTGGTAGGGTAGGAAGCCATGAGAGAATTTTGAACAGGGGACTACTATGACCTGATTTCTTTTTTTTCTTTTTTAATTATTAAGGAAATTTTCAATCACAGATATAGATGATGTAGTAAAACTCATGAACTTATCACTCATCACCACAGTGATCAGTTTCTACCCTTCTTCATTCACAAGCTCCCCCCCCTCCCCGACTATAGAAAGTGATAATTTCCGACAACATGAATATACTCTTGCCAACTTGCACCACGACCAAGAGACAGAACATTAACAGCATCCTGGAAGTCCCCGGTTTGCCCCTTCTAATAACAGATGCCCCAGGCAGTTTTCCAAAGTGGTAGCACCAATTTGCACCTCTACCTGCAGTGTTTGAGAGCTCGGTTACTCCACCTCCTTGCCAGTATTCATTATGATCTGCCTTGCATTTTTTGCTAGATTATTTTAAAACAAATCCTAGACATACCACCTACCATTTCATCAGTACTTCAGTTTGTATCTTCAATAAATAAGGCCTTTTAAAAGCATACCCATAATACTATTATTTCACCTATTGAAATTAACAGTAATTCTCAATATCATCCAATGATGTGAATGATATATATACATATATATCATTGTATGGAAGTCATTTATACGATTGTATAAATTACAGTCTTTATTCAATTTTTGCTGATTTTCTTTAAAACAGCTTCTGATAGTTTATTCTAATAAGGATCTAAACAAGGTCCTCTCATAGCATCTGATTTTTTTTTTTTTTAAATATTTTATTGTGTTTTTGGTGAAGGTTTACACAGCAGTTTAGGTTCTCATTCAGCAGTTTCTACACAAGTTGTTCAGTGACATTGGTTGCATTCTTCACAATGTGTGAACATTCTCATTATTTCCATTCTGCTTGTACCATTTTCATTAATCTAGTTTCCCCTGCTCCCTTACAGTCTCATCTTTGTTTTAAAGTAATTCTTGACCACAGGTGATTTTTTTAAAGGAGCACAGTACTTACGGGTGATAGTCACTATTTTTTGAGCCAATTTGTTATCTACAAGGTGACTTCAGGGGTTAGTTTTGGTTCAGGGTTTGAAGAGTGTCTCAGAACCGTAGCCTTGGAGAGTCCTCTAGTCTCAATCAGTCCAGTAGGTCTCTTTTTTTTTTTCAAGGAATTTGAGGTTCTTTTCCACAGTTTTCTACCATTCTTTCAGGGTCTGTCTATTGTGGCCCTGATTGGAATGGTCAGTAGTGGTAGCTGGGCACCATCTAGTTCTCTCAGTCTCAGGGTAGATGAGGTCATGGTTCGCGTAGACTGTTTGTCCTGTAGACTAGTTTCTTCATTTTTTTTTTTAAGATTATTCTGGCTGCTGTGTGGAGGATGAATTATAAGGGGAAAGAGTAAAGGTAGCTTAATTAGGAGGCAAATTCAGCCCACATGAGATGTTGGGAGCTTGAACTAGGATGTTAGTTAGCAACAAAGATGTTCTAAAGTAGATGAGATGAGTTTGGGATATTTTGGAGGAGAGTTACCAGGATTTAATTTGTGGATTGCATGTGAGGGGTCAGGAAAAGAGGCAGTGGGAGTAACTTCTAGTTGTGAGGCTTGAACGTTGCTTTATAGGATTACATTTTGTGAATTAATCACAATTTTTTTTATCACTGTATTGTTCTTCGGCTTCAGCTTGAGTTTAGCTTGAACTTGGATGAGAGTACCATTTATGGAAATGAGAAAAGACTGAGGAGCAAGTTGGTGGAGAGGGCGCAGATGATGCTTTCTATTTTGGACATGTTTAATTTGAGATGCCTGTTAGATATCCAGGTGGAAATGTCAGATAGATACTTGGAAATACATGTTTGGAGTTCAGTGGAGAAGTCAGGACTGAAGATAAAATTTGGCCATCACAGACATGTAAGTGGTATTTAAAGCCATGGGATAAATGGGATTATCTGGGGAGGGGGGAGAGTGTCTTTTCTCTTCCACCTTGCTGCCGACAAAGGGAATTGAGAAACAGCAGCTAGAAAGGTAAGAGGAATCCGAGAGGAGAAAATGTTCCACGAAGAATGACGTGGTCGGTTTTCAGACGTTCTGAGTGGTCTCATAATAGGAGGCTAGAGAAAGACTGGTGGTTTTGGTAACAGAGAGGTCATTAATGATTTTTTTTTTAAATTAATTTTTTTATTTTGAGTTAATAGTAGATTCACATGCAGTTGTAAAAAAATGATGCAAAGAGATTCCATGTACCTTTTACCCAGCGCTTGACTATTAACCTAAAGGTTGTTGGTTCAGACTCACCCTGTGGCACTGCAGAAGAAAGGCCTGGTGATCTGCTTCCATAAAAATTACTGCCAAGAGAACCCTATGGAGCAGTTCTGTTCTGTAACACATGGGGTTGCCATGAGTTGGAATTGACTGGATAGAAATGGATTTTGTTTTGTTTCATAATACAATATCACAACCTGTGATTGACATTCATACAGCAAAGATACAGAACATTTTCTTCATTACAAGGGTCCCTCATGTTGCCCTTTTATAGCCACACTTACTTCTTCTCACCCCCACTCTCTTTAATCTCTAGCAACTACTGATCTGTTCTCCATTCCTATAATTGTGTCATTTCAAGAATGTCGTATAAATCGAATCATACATATAACCTTTTGGGATTGGCTTTTGTTTTCACTTAGCGTAATTTTCTGGAGATTCATCCAAGTTGTTGCGTGCATGAATAGTTTGTTCCTTTCTATTTCTCAGTACTATTCCATGGTGTGGATGTACCACAGTTTGTTTAACCGCTTACCCATTGAAGGGCATCTCTAGGTTGTTTCCAGGATTTGGCTGTTACGAATAAAGCTGTTATAAACATTCGTGTACAAGTTTTCGTGTGAACTTAAGTTTTCATTTGTCTGGGATAAATGCCCAAGAGTACAATTGCTGGGCTGTATTGTAGCTGCATGTCTAGTTTTTTAAGACACTGCTAAACTCTTTTCCAGAGTGGCTGTACCGTTTTACATTCCCCTCAGTGATGTATGAGTGACCCAGTTTGTCTGCATCCTCGCCAGCATTTGGTGTTATCTCTGTCTTTTGTGTTAGCCCTTCTGATAGGTCTGTAGTGATAGCTCATTAATTTGTGTCTCCCTAATGGCTAGTGATGTTGGACATCTTTTCATGTGCTTATTTGCCATTGTAAATCCTTTCTGGTGAAATGTCCTTTCGTGCCTTTTGCCTGTTTTATGATTAGATTGTTTAGATTTTTTTTACTCTTGGGTTTTGAGAGTTCTTTCTATATTCTAGATGCTAATTCTGTGTCAGTTATGTGGTTTGCAAGTATTTTCTTCCAGTTTGTAGCTTGTCTTTTCATCTAACTCGCAGAGGTAAAATTCTTAATTTTGATGAAGTTTAATTTATCCTTTTATGGATCCTGCTTTTGGTGTCAGGTCTAAAAAATCTTTGCATAGTCCTAGCTCATGAAAATTATTTCTTTTTTTTTTGTAAATGTTTTATATTTTTTCACTTAAGTTTGTGATCCATTTTGAGGTAATTTTTGTATATTGTATGCAATTGGGTCGAGACTGATTTTTTAGCCAGTGGTTATCCAGCTGTTCATTTTTTAAAAATTTTATCTTAATAATGCATTTTTATTTTATTTTTCCATTTTTTCAAATTGTACTTTAGATGAAGGTTACAGAACAAATAGTTTCTCATTAAACAGTACACATACTGTTTTATTCCAGCACCATTTTTTGAAAAGCATATCTTTCAGCCATGAAATTACTATTGGCATCTTTGTCAAAAGTCAGTTAAGCAGGCTTATAGCCATGATGAATCTGTTTCTGGGCTCTCTATTCTATTCTGTTGATCTATGGCTGTCTCTCCACTAGTACCACACGTTCTTGATAACTGTAGCTATACTCATTGCCATCGAGTTGATTCTGACCCATAGTGACCCTATAGGACAGAGTAGAACTGCCCTATAGGATTTCCAAGGCTGTAGTGTTTACAGGAGCAGACTGCCACATCTTTCTTCTGTGGAGCGGCTGGTGGGTTCAAGTCACTGACCTTTCTGTTCGCAGCCAACTGCTTAACCACTACATCACCAGGTCTCCTTACCGTAGCTATAAAAGTCTTGAAATCAGATAGACTGATTTCTTACATTTTCTTCTTTTTTAATATTGTTTAAGCTCTTCTACTTCTTTTGCCTTTCCATGGGGCCCTGATGGTGCAGTCGTTAATCATTTGCCTGCTAACCGAAAGGTCAGCAGTCCGAATCTACCAGTTCCTCCTTGGAAACCCTATGGGGCAGTTCTACTCTGTCCTATAAAGTCACTATGAGTCAGGATCAACTTGATGGCAACGGTTTTTTTCGGTTTTCTTTTGCCTTTCCATATAAATTTTAGAGTAATCTCGTCTAGCTGTAAAAAAAATCTTGCTGGCATTTTGATAACAGTTGCATAAAATGTGTTTATCAGTTTGAAGAGAATAGACATCTTTACTATGTTGAGTCTTCCGATGCATGAACTAGTACATCTCCATTTATTTTGGTCTTTGATCTTTTTACTTCGTTTTGTAGTTTTCAGCATACAAGTCCTGAGCATGTTTTGTTAGATTTACACCTAAGTATTTTCTTTTCTTTTCTTTCTTTTTTGAGTGATTGTAAATGGTGTTGTATTTTTAACTTCATCATTGATGACATTTTAGGAACAGTTCGAAGGAATTAATGGAGAAGGGGAAGCCTGGAGTAGGTTGAGGACAGAATAAGAGGTGAGGAAGTAGAGACAGCATCTATAGATGATGTGCTGAAGAAGTTTTACTGTAAAGGAAGCAGAGAAATGGAGAGGTAGCTGAAGTACAGGCGTGAGTCAGAGGACAGATTTTTGTGTGTGTGTGTGTGTGTGTGTGTGTGTGTTTAGCAAAATGGTATGATATTGTAAGATCCTTTGGCAACTTGTGTATTTTACCTAACAATATGACATGGCTACCAGTTATACTTGCTCTTTAATTTGTTGAATTTCTTCTCTATTGGAGAATAATAGTGGGTGGTCATGTTTTGTTATAATCTACTTTTTATTGCTCTAGGTTAGCACCTAATCACTGTGCTTAAGTTAAATGACCATTAGCTTGTGGACAAAAGTTGTATAATAGGAATGAACTATTAGCTTGCTGATTGTTGAGGTTGAGAGAAATTCTCCAGGTTTTTTTTCACACAATAGATTCTTCATGGAAAGTGTTACTCTCTAGGCTGACAGTTGCTAGTAAACACAAGCTTATTGATTGCTGTCCTTATGTTGGGTGATTTAAGTCATCGTGAACTTGTCTTGTTAAGCACTCGGCTGCTAACCAAAAGGTTGATGGTTTGAACCCACCAGTAGCTCCCTGGGAGAAAAGACTTGGCAATCTGCTCCGGTAAAGATCACAGCCTTGGTAGCGTCTAGGGTCTTAAAAGCTTGTGAACGGCCATCTAAGATACGTCTTCAGGTCCCACCCCGTCTGGAGCAAGGAAAAATGAAGAAAACCAAAGACAAAAGGGAAAGATTAGTCCAAAGGACTAATTGACCATAGCTACCACAGCCTCCACCAGACTGAGTCTGGCACAACTAGATGGTGCCTGGCTACTACCACTGACTGCTGTGACAGGGATCACA